CTTTTTTTTTACTGCCACTTTTTTTTCTTTTCCTTTCTCTTTCTTATGGAGTTAGGGGTTATTTGGTTTGATGTATAACAAGAAATAACCATGGTATAAAGGAGTTGTAATAATTATACAATATTTGGTTTACTTTTTTATTCATGTATAGTTAATCATTTAATAAAATTATACATCAATTTTGGTATAACTTTATACCACTATCAACATGGAATAATTAATCCATGCATAAGTTATACATGGATAAAACATCAAAAGAACTAAATTCTTCCTTTTTCTTTTAAAGAAACCTATGATTGTCAGGTATCCAAGGTATAATTGTAAGCTCATTACTTTTTAGTTTAAATTTTAACGTTGTCTTGCAAGAAATAATCTCTGCATTACTAATTTATGCACTATAATCCATATATAACTTGTTTTCGAACCAAACGTTCCCAAGTGAAAAATAGTTTCTTACAAATTTTTTTTGAACTTTAACTTTAAATAATTTTCTTAGTTATAACTACATTGTTACGGCCTACTTGCATATATGTCCAAAAAAACGCGCGCGTCCGAAAAACTTTAGTTGGAATACAATTCAAACTAGTATTTCAACATAATTTTAATCCAAGCTCAAATTAAAGATATTGTTATCAATTGTAAAAAACAAATGTCGTTTACAAGTTGAAACGCCATTGTTCTGAAACCCACGAGCGCACTTAGGTATTCTTACAGCAAGACATTTCTTAAAATATAGCAGAGATAAAAGTTTGCAAGACATTTTTCTTATTATATTCCGCTCTAATTTTGAGCAAATATATGTTTCAGTCATTTTATATTTTGTATTTTCATCTTCTCTCCTTTTACAAGACGTAAGTGTGTGCTTATGGAAAGGTAAATGGAAGATGGTTGAGGATCTTTCGCGGATTTCAGATTAAATTACTCAGAAGTCAGAAAAGTAAATAAAATAAAAATGTTTTTTTCATCTTATTATATGTGATAAGGGTAATAAATAACCCAAAGTGTTAATTCCAAGACCATCAAAATGTGAAAGTTATAAATGATTGTACTAGTGTCTCTCCAAATGTGGGACATTTCTTTAATTTTTATGAAGTAATCTTTTCACTATACCAAAGGTTAAGATCATCAGTGTCCAAAAGGAAAATACTTTAGAATCTCAAAAATAATCGATGAACAAACATGCCAGTGCATTTAATAATCGATCCGTGTTTGCTGTAAATTTATTTAAGAATCGATCAGCTTATTAACTAATGACATTACAACAATCTATCTTGTCTCTTCGAACAAACCAAATGACACCTCACCTTTTTTTAAGCTCAAAGAGATCATTTAATTGTGCTAAATTTTGAGGTGCACAACTTTTATTTGCACAATTGTGATAACATATATTGTTACAAATTGTTGCTTTTTTGATGTGGTAATGAGCACCCCTGGAATCTACAAGCCAAAAGTTATACTGTAGTAAAAGGTTTATTGGCGAAAAAGGGGCTACTTACTCGAGATTTCCTTTCTGAAACTTTTACACTTTTTCATGATATGTCATGATCGCCTTTCATTCTAAAATCACTTTTCAAAAAAAGAAAAAAAGACAGAAAATTTCATTCGACAAGCTCAAAAAGATACAGATTCTATTAGTCATATATGACGTCTCATCTTTATTCTTCCCCCTTTTCAAATGGCAGCCCATTGATGAACTGCAAAAACTATAATATACGAGAACCATATAGGGCAAAAATATAATCCAAGTGAACTCCTGATTTATTAGATTCATAGCTAATACAAAAATATAACTCAAAATCAGCAAAGAACACTCTCCTCCTCTCTCCCTTCAACATAACCTGCTCATAGCAATTTGACAGTGTTTAGGTTGAATTCTGGAGCTTTGGAATGATCACACCATTCTAGTGTTGTGCGTATTCAGTTAAATTCCCAAAAGTTTGTATCGGAACGTCAAATTTGCAAACCATCTAAACCATTGGAACTGTACTTCAAGGGCTACAATTCTCCATCACAATCAAACGGCCACTTGATTTTGAGTTATATTTTTGTGAGGTTAAGAGTCATGTAGTAGAAAGAATCTGTAGCCATATACCTTGTTTTCCAACTCTTCTTGTTCCAAATTACCAATTCAGAAGTCAAACTCAACTAAACTATTTTCGAAAAGTCTAAAACATGTTCTTTGAATTCAAAGGTATATTCAAGCATGTTTACCACTCAAAAATTACTAGTTTTGCACACATGCATATAGACCCCTGAACCCTATTTCTGGAGCAACGATTAACTTGAGCTTTTCTATTATACCCATTCCAACTCCTTCTGATGCAAAAGATATACTGAGGCAAAATATAACCATGTTGATTCAAGGTGGCTGGTAGTAGCGCTTGCTGAAGATGTCTCAAATACATTAATCATGCGATTTGTAGTTTCTTTTGTATCAAGATCTGTTTAACAACATAGAACCTACAGAAGTAATAAGCAAAAGAGAATGTTTAAATATATATATAAAGTTTAGTTTGATCGAAGGTCACATTCCATAATACAATGAGACAGTCACGTTTGGCAGATCAATCAACTATCTCCATGAAGTTTAAAGCAAAAGGGAAAGAAACATGGAAATGTTATTTAATGTTAGATTCTTGAATAGTATTGCTATATAGCTAGACTTTCTTACACTACTTTAGTGAACTTTTACCTTACCTTTTAATCAGATATTTGTCATCTAGGAACCTGATAATCAAATTGATACTTGAAAAGCAGAACACAAACAAGAAATACAGACAAATGTAATTTTATAAGGTTTAATGCTTTTATTGCAAGAATGAATAAAAAATTCACAGTTGCAAAATCCTTATATCACAAAAGAACAACTCAACATAGCATCTAATAGTTTTGATTTCAAACTCACCTCTGCAAAAACTGAAACAGCTTTTGGAAGGTAATGAAAGCTGGAACCTAAAAGTTCTCTGCCTGACCTGCAAGTGAGAAAATTTGGTGAACATTAAAAAGACCAAAAATGTAATTTTATATGAGATCATCTATTAGAGAAACTTCATGTTAATGTTTAATTTGGCTAATTAAAACCTAGATAAGGTAACAAAACTAATACTTGAAACAGTAAAGTAAGTGAGGATAAAGCCTAAAGCAGACCAATCCAGTATCTTTCCACCAGTTAACCCAACTGTTCATTAACACGTTTGGCTTTGTCCAAGTCAGCTTTTATAGGCAGGGAATTCAACCAAGCTGGAAAACCTACCAACTTACTAGAACGTGTTTTTAGTACCATGAGTTGATCAAATTGTTAATTTTTTTGTTTCAAGAACACTAGAGTTTTCCTCCATAATTTGGCTGTGCAGAGAGCTGTGCAGGCTGCAGTTGAGGCTTCACTAGTTTGATTTATTGTTCCTCCTTGTATCTTTGCTGCAGTATTTTTTCCATTGTGGTACTTAAAATTACAAGGGAAACCGTGTAATCTGTAAGGAACGGGGATCATAATTAATATATCTCCTCTCACGGAGATTTAGGTCTTATTCTAAATCCATTAGGAGATGAATAATTGAGTTTCTGATCCTGTTCAGCTTTGTAGAGTACTTTATTCCACAAATGCATTCACAGGTACAAAACAAGGAGTTATATTAAGCTGTCCAAGCTCATTCTAGAACTTCTTCATCTTAGTGAAGTACTGCAAATTCCTGTGTCAAGCCGTCTTGTGCCTTTTGTTTTTGATAAACATTGGCCCATTTGTCTGAATAAATCTATCCTCCCTAACGATCCATGCTATGACAATATAAAAATGTTGTCCCAAATGTTTCTTCCTAGGGCATCTTGATCGAAGAGATGACCTTACCATTGCATAACGCCTAAGAATAAGAGAAGAAGATGATGGAGGCTTTACATAAGTGCATCTAGAGACCTACTTCTTTTTTGCATAAATACATGAATGTTTTCTTTTTCACATGTGATTGGGAAAATAAGAAAAGAAGGGTATCTAATAGTTAGCAGAACAACATTGAAGCAAGAGAAAAATGAAAGGGCTAAATACCTAGGTAAAATGGAACAACTCAGTCAAACCCCTCCAATTCAAGGTGGTTTTATAAAAAGAAAAAGAAAGTTAGGAAATTTGAAACATATATGCAACTAAGAACTAGTTTTAAGAAAGTGTAGCCATTACAAGCATAGGAAACTACTATATTATTACTCAAATTACGTCACCTATAGGAAAGTCCTCATTGGCTTAACTAAAACTCCTTTCAGTTAAACGGGTAAAGCAACTAAATAAACAAGAAAGGAATTATAAGAACCTCCGGTATACATGCATGGTCAAACCAAGCATCACATGACTATATTCGTAGACTTTGTCAATTGGTTCCGTAATGATTCATTGACTTATTGACCTTTAGACAGAGACGGATCTAGGATTTCTAGAACATGGGTGCACCACTAAAGAAAATAGGAGGAAAAAGTGTAAAGTGGGAATTGATTATTGTTTCTTTGAGTAAATAATTAAGTATTGAACCAAGTGAACCATTCAACCTTTATGGAGCATAGGTGCCATTATATAATATTGGATCAGTTCTATGAAATACATACATAAAATACCTAGTTTGACGGAAGGATCATGGGTTCACGTGCCCCATTATTGAGGGTATAGATATGCCCCTACCTTTAGATTTTAAAATCTATTAGATTAATATTGGAAGAAATTATGTGATCCAACACTATGACATGTCTCAAACTATTTGATGCATGCACTTAAGTACCCATCTAGAACAGAAATTTTGGAGTGCCTACTCAAGCATATATGAGCTGAAGGTATAAGAATGCACGAGCAAATAAAAGAACATAATTGGGCTGCGTTGATACTTTCACCGTGAAGCTAAGATATCTTACCAAGTCCAAAAACAGCATTATCATATGCATCCACATTCTCAGGTTCAAGAGCTTTTAAATGCATTGCCACTACATTGATCCTTGACAGAGGCTCTGATTCAGGTCATAAGATTAACTAAACACAAAAAAACATCACTTTTTGTCCCCTCTCCATGACGAAAGGGTCTCAATATCTCATTCAACACTATCATACTTCCAACAAACGGTTGAAATCAGAACCACCATATTCCGCGTAAAGCCCAAGTCCATAAAGAGCATTCTGAACATGACATCAACAGTTCTCCAATAAATCAAATAGCAAATGCAACTTACCAAAAACTGTTGCAAACACCAAGATGTACGAACATGTCTAACACCTGGGTCTTCGTCATTGCTTGCGACCAAAATTAAAGGAAGACAAACATCATAGTCCTAATTTTCATAGAGTAACTACCAAATACAGGAAGCCATTAAGGAAAAATCGACAAATATATACACATACTTTAGAGCACTCCTCCACAAGAGCATCAAAGATTTATATCTCTTATTAGTTGTATTCTCCTAGGCCTTCTTCCAGATAACAACTGGCCTGAATTATTGTTATTCTTATATCAGTGTGTCACTTCTAGTTCAAACAAGTTAAAAAAGTCAACCTTCTTATTATTTCGGCAATTAGCTAACGTCATAAGAGAAACAATAGTCCCTTGCTTAAAAAATTTGCGCTCTCTATTCCTAAATACACTGGATGATAACATCCTGGATCTCAATGTGAAGGTCACGGCCAAGAGCGTTGTGATCAGCTTCATTCAGTGTGCATCGAGTCCAAATGAAAAGGAGCGGTTTCAAGATCTATTGTCCGGTATGATAAATACGTTGACCGACGTGTTATGCAACAGTGATAGATTTGCAAATCTACAAAAAGAAAAAAAAAAGTTTCAACCTGCGTTGGGCTGCAAATCTCTCGTTGTTGCATAGTGCATCAGTCGACGTCTTCATACCACCGGGCAATAGATCTTGAAACCGCTCCTTTTCATTTGGGCTCGATGCACAATGAATGAAACGCACATTGAGATCATTGGTGTATCATTTAGTGTATTTAGGCATAGTGAATGCAAAATTTTTAAGCAAGAAACTATCTATATATATATATATATATATATATATATATATATANTAATTAACAGATAATTTTGAATTTATAGATAAAGTTCTAAAATTCGAATTTAAATTAAAAATAAAATTTATCTTTTTTTTTATCATGTTATCATACTTAATTCGGTTAATGATCATATGCAACCATGTTAGGAACTTTTGTTATTTCTCTAATTATTTAAATATTACTTCGCATCTAGCCAAAAAAAAAAACTACCCCATATACCTATAAAACTCTTTTACATTTAAAATCCTATAAGTATAGTTCTTTGAAACACTGCAGCTAGATTTGAATAAAACAAAATTCTTTTAAAATAAATATAATATATAGGATACACGTCTATGTTTATCTAAATAACAAAAAAGAGTTTACAAAACCAAATAAAAGTTTACTTACATATATAATAAAGTAAATATACATGCTAGAGAAAAAAATTCACAAAATCAGTCAATATTAAAAAAAAAAGTTGTTTCCTTTTTCTTCTTGAAGAATGTTTGTTTGAAGAGTCAATTTGCATAAATGGACATCAAACAAATAACAAAACTTTGGTTATACAATTGTTATCGTTAATTTCAATTTAGCACATTCAAGGAATTGAAGGGTATAAGTTGACCCCTTCATTTAATTGTAGTCAAGCCAATATTGCAAGGGTATAATATTTTTTTCGTTGAAGAATATTAATTTTAAATCATTAGATTATGTGAAAGATTTTTTTTTCAAACTCAACAAGAGAGAAATTGGTTTTTAATTGATAGTTTCTATAGCGACTTTTAAGTGTAACAAAGAGTATATAAAGAAAAAATTGGTATGACGTGAATTTTTTTTTTAAATGGAAACAAATTATTTTGAAAAAATTCTTAACTTTTTTTAATTCAAAGATAAGATATTTTTTATCATTAGTAGAGAGTTTTAAAATTATTATAATAGAAGTTATATCGTGGATAAAATCAAAAAACGAAATCTTATGGAATATTTACATAATATCCAGCCATATTTATTGTTTACTTTTTATAGCTAATATAAATAGATGGTATACCGACAACACACGATTATACACATACTATATATGGATAATATATAAATTACACATCATCCAATTTTTAAATTTAAGTGGTCGGGTGAGCACCTATTTAGGATGATTAGATAAAGCCAAAAGAAAAATATGAAATAATTTCACCAAAGAATAAAAATATAATTAAAGTTCATATGTAGACAATTTATTAAAACTCATCCGTTTATAGTGAAATAAATTAAATTTTTGTAACAAAAGAAATAGTGACATAAAAAATAAGATAAAAAGAAAATAAATATTGAAAAAAATGTTAGAAAGATCTAAAAACGAGAAATAAAAGATGACAACAAATTTCTTCTTATGTTGAGTATAAAAAAATTAAAAGTTAATCTCATCGATTTCAAATATCTTTTTTTTCAACTCAAATACATAAAAAATAAGATAAGGACATCTTAGAATTTTTTTTTTAATTTACATTATGTGTCATTTATAAAAAATCACTATTACTAACAAACTGATATGATATTCGAATTTGTTGGAATGCAATTGGAGTAGTTGCATTGAGGCTAAGCCAAATATGGTGTCGAAAAATAAACTACTTGACAATTTTAAGACAATATATGCAATATTTTATAATAATAATCAACTAAATTTAACATCTAATGATTCAAAGAACAAAATTTTTGTATATATAGGGTATTAAAAATTCAAATTCTGGGGCTAGAGATATCGATAAACTTAAAGTGGAGTCATGCTGAAATAAATTCGAGCAAAGAATCATTTAAATTTTTAGATAGCCGATTAAAGTGAATTTTAAATTACGGATAATATCTTCACTTGCATCATTATAAAGATAATCATTATTATAATATATATAACGTTTTAGAAATTGAAATTTCAAAATAGAAATATTTTTGAAAGATAAAATCATACCAAATAAGAGTTCAAGTTGTAGTATAAGAGTCATGTCGTAATCAAAGAATCGTTTATATCGTGTCAACCTTTGTGCTTTGCCATAAATATGAGTTATTATTTAACTTTGCGGTTGTTTTTAGGTTCCAAAGACTCCTATGAGAATAGTGCAAAAATAAAAGTATCACTACGAGAATTGAGAAAATGTTAGTTTTTTTTCATGTAGTGTTTCTTAATTAATATCTGACGATTATCTATAATTTTTTAGAAGGTTTAAATGTTAAGGTTATTTACATATAATTCAAATAACTCAGATATTTAACATGGTTAGTGTCAAATATCAAAATGGAGTAACAAAAATTCACTAGCTAAAGAATTTGCTTATGTTTTTAGATAGCCAACTAAAATGAGTTTTGAATTAAGAATAATATTTTCAATTACATTATTATAAAAATAATTATTATTAAAAAATAATGTTTTAGAAACTGAAATTTTAAGAAAGAAATATTTTTTAAGAGATATCAACAGTTCAAGTAGTAGTAAAAGAGTGAAGTCTTATCCCGAGTCATTCATTGTCTCAACATCTGATTGTTTTGCCATAAATATGAGTTGTTATTTTGCTTCCTGACTATTTTTAGGATCCAATGACACCGGTAAGAATGGTATCAAAGGAAAAAAATAGAAAAAATGGTTAATTTTGTTCACGTAGTTAATATTGAATGATTATTTATATTTACTGAGAAAGTATAAATTTTTAGATTATTTACATACAATCCAAATAACTTAAATATTTGACATGATTAGTGTCCGCGCATCCGCGCGGGTACTAATACTAGTTATTTCTGATTGTTGAAATAATAAGAAATTTGACTATTTGAACTTAAAGTGACAGCATTGGTACAATGTCAATCATTCAGGCCAGTTGTTACCTGGAAGAAGTAAGGCAGTCAGCTCATGGATTTTGATTCTTCAAGCGAGATCGATTAAGGAGTGCACATTTGATGCAAATGAACAACACAGTTTTCACCGAAATAAGAGCTCAGATATTAGCAAGCAAGTCAGGATCCTACTGCTTTATCATGTTACACAGTGACTTGGCCTCGAATCGTTTCTCAGTGAGATCTGAGATGAAGGTTTCAAATGGCTCCGAAACGATTGTGACGGCTAAATGAGGAGGAGAGAGACGGCTATAAAGTTGCTGAAAAACATTAAAATTATACACGCCTCCTCCAATATTACCTATATTATGGTTAAACTCCCTTTTCTTTTCAAAAATTATAAAGGTACCCCGGGCGAGACCAAGCACTCTCCTGCTAGTGCTAAAGGTTAAACTGGTGCAAATCTTAATGGACAATGTTAAGAATACTTAAGATTACAAACTTATGAAACATATGCTAAATTCGTATTTCGTAGACATGCATTAGGGATGTGAGTATTAAAGGAGAAGAAGTCTTTATGTGCAATCGTTAGAGAGTTAAGTGCTTAAAAACATTTAAATTATAGGTTAAAGTGCATCTCATGCCTTGAGATTACTTACCTTGTTTTTTGTAACATTTTTTTTTTTGGTAATTAGAGATTTTATATACTAGGGAAAAAGAAGTATCTGCAAGCAGTTCTAAAACCCCTCCAAGGTTGGCAAAAATGCCCCACTCTACAATCTACCCTACTACAAAACTTCAAAATCGATAACAATTGTAACTACTACATTCATAACTAGCATAAACTAAGAATAGTAATTCATTCTTCTCAATTGACCTGCTATTCTTCTACTGCCTGCGCCTCGAACATGTACATTTTGAACACCTGTCTCACCGGAATAGCATCTTCTCTCCCTCTATCCTATAATATTTGTTGGTTCATTTCTTGTCAAACGTAGTATGCACATCCAACAAAACTCATTTTATAGATCTCTACCTTGGCGCATTTTTACCATTCATGAACTGGACTACCCATGCTTGCTCATTCAGCAACCCCATTGCCAGTCTATTCACACCCATATTATTATAAATGGGTTCTCAGCAAAAAGATCCATTTTGGGCATCCCATATTATTATAAACTAGTCTCTTCCATGATACCTTTTGAAACTCCCCTCTTAGCTTTATATACAACTTCCTGATAGAGAACTATTGTATCTCCATTAAATCATCAAAAGAAATGCCTACTTGCTCCAAATATTCTTTGGCTTTAAGGATTTTGTTTACCATCCACGATTCTTGTTTAGCACATATTTCCCAAATATGCCTTCCTTTTATATAGTAAGTGTGAACCCAATGAATCCATATTTTTCTTCTTACAAAGATTCTAGTAATGCTTACAAATTGCTGCTTTATTCCACAATGTTATATTTGTCACAATAGTCTGTTTGGCCAAGTCTTTCAAAGTTAAAGTGTTTGGTCAAGCTTTTAGAAGGAAAAAACAGTGCTTTTGAGGAGAAGCATAAGCAGAAAAAAGTAGTTTATTCCCTGAAGCACTTTTTTGATAAGCATTTTTGAGAAAAATATACTTAGAAGCACTTTTTAAGAGCTTGGCCAAACATTCATTGCTACTTAGAAGTGTTTTTCAAATTAATCAATCAAACACAAACTGTTTTTCACCAAACGTACTTTTGAAAAATGCACCTTTGAACAAAAAAATACTTTTCAAAATAAGCTGATTTTTCCAGCTTGCCCAAACAGGCTATTAGTCCGCCAATAGACTTAGGTAAACATACTTTGTCCCAAGACAATAAAGCTTTCTTGCTTAAGTCATTTCCACATGTCCATAAAAATTTCATGCATACAAACTCAACCAATGTAATAACCTTTTTAGGCAATACAAAAATTCGTGAACAGAAAGCATGTATAGAGAACAAAATACTTTTAATGAGTTGCCTTCTCCCTCCATAGGATACGTACTTTCCGGTCCATGAGGTAACCTTCCAACCATCTTGTCAAGCAAAGGCTGACATTGCATTAGTGTCAATCTTTTAGAACTTAATGGCACCCCTAAGTAACTGACCGGAAGTGCTCCTTTAGGAAAGTCCAGCAAGCTAAGAATCTCTATTTGAATATTCTCCGGTACCCCTTTAAAAAAATTGAGCTTTTGGCTTTGTTAACTATCAATCATGAAGCCAATAAAAGTTGTTGGAAACAGTCATACATCTATTTGACTGATATTATCTTACCCCGCAAAACATAATAAGAACATTAGCAAATCCCAGTTGCTCTATCTGTATTTTACTACATTTAGGGGATAGTTAAAATCTTGTTTCTCGTAACAATTAAGCAATATAAACGAAATTATATTCATGTTCCTTCAAAGTACTATAACAAATAATTAGCAAATAAACAAAACTAATAAATTTATTAGTCATTTTTATCTTTTCAGGTTAGAAAAAGAAAATAGGGCATAAGACAACGAGCTCAAACTTATTGTTTTAAAATTTATCGGGTTAGATCTGCTACATTAGAACCTTACTTCTTAATGCTTAATTATTACTCTCTTCCAAAATTACAGCTCACGTCTCACATGCTCAACTACATGAAAATAATTGTAGAACGACTCGACAACAAAAGTATTATACTCTGTCCGATCCATTTTGATTGATTTTTTAGTTGTTTACACGCATATTAAGAAATCTATATTTTAACATTAATTAACAATAAAATTGACCATATTAATCTTAATTTGTTCATTGAGAATATAACAAATACTCCTAGATTTTTTACTCGAAGGACAACTTTGAAAAAAAAAAGGTTAATTTCTTCTTGATATTTGAAAAAATTAAATATTATGAACCGACTAAAAAAATTAATTAAAGTGGACCGGAAGGACTAATAAATTTCATTAATAAACAAACTACCTATTTATTGGTAGAAAAAAACAAACCTATTATTTGACTTTTGGTGCAATAAGCTTTCTAATTTTGTATTTTCAAGTTAGAGAAGAAAATAGACGATGGGCTCAAACTTTCAACTGTTTTGCATTAGAATTTAAAAGGAAATCTCCTATAACAAATGTTGATACCTTATTTATTATAAATAAATATTTTTTTTAAAAATTATCTCCTATAACTACCTTTTAATTTTTACAGTAAAATATTTATTTATGGCCACTTTTTACCTTTAAGCCATCAAATACACTATGTATTATTTTTCTGTGTGCCTCTCTCTTCCCTTTCTCCTCCTTTCTCTTTCACTTTCTTCTTTTTTTCCCCTGGTTTTTTCCTCCCCTACTTTTAGAAACCCTAGCATGGGCTGTGTTCCGCAAACACAGATCCAACCGACGACCACTTCCCCCTTCTTGTTGTGTCACCCCTAACCCCCTCCTCCACCAGCGATTTCTTTCACACAATTGTGTTACACATTCTAAATTTTTCTTAGATTTTGCATTGATTGTTCATGTTTGCCTCGTGAGATCTAAAGAAGTTTTATCTCTAGTTTCCTTTTGATCCTTTAAATTGGTGTTTCTTCAACAACTGTCTTCGTTTAACCGGCGGCGACGGCCCACATTGCGGCGACCTGAATATCGGTGGATTGGGGACGGAGTTTGGGTTGAGGAACTTGAAGATTCTGTTACCTTTTTTTCATTATATTTCAATGTATCTCGCTGTATTTTATGTATTTCATTGTATTCACTGTCTTTTTTTCAATTGTATTTCAATGCATCTCGTTGTATTCCATGTATTTTATTGTATTCACTGTCTCGCTGTATTCCATGAATATATTCATATATTTTTTTAATTAATAGTTTATGTATATATGTATTCAAATGTATCTGAAGTACGTATTCATATGTTTTTGCACTATAAATGACTTGCTATACTTTATGTATCCAATGTATTTAACTGTATTCAATGTAATTATATAATTTTAATATATAAATCTATTTGTTAAGATACCACTAAAAAATATTTTAGTAAAGATACAACTAAAAAAAGAAAGGATGGATTGAATCTTTGAAGATTGCTCTGTTTTTTGGGTGTTTTTCGGTTGAGAATCTTTTCTATAACTAAAAATACAAATTTTGTGTGTTATAATTGCTTTTGTTGAGTTATATTAGGAGTCTATCGCGTTAATTGATTCACTTACCGTTTTTAAACAGACCTTTTTATCGCAAATTCCGTTACTGTATTCACGAATATAACTCGCGAATACAGTCGAATACCTTCTCTGCTTAGCTGGACTCCCCTATTTTCCACCGAATTTTGCTACTGTATTACAGTCTATAACAACTGAAAATATAGCTGTAGAAAGTAATTTAGTAAATGATAGCTATAACAAGCTAATAATCACTAAAACATACTCCCTCCGGTCCAAAATAAGTGATTTTTTGACTTTTTTCTTGTGGTCCAAAATAAGTGATTTTTTGACTTTTTTCTTGTGGTCCAAAATAAGTGATTTTTTGACTTTTTTCTTGTGGTCCAAAATAAGTGATTTTTTGACTTTTTTCTTGTGGTCCAAAATAAGTGATTTTTTGACTTTTTTCTTGTGGTCCAAAATAAGTGATTTTTCAGATTTTAAGAGTGAATTAATTATTTTTTTCCTACATTGTCCTTGGAGTAATTAATGTTGGAGTATGTGTTAGGAATATTTATGTGAAGAGATAATAAATGTTAATATGGTCAATTTCATTGCTAATTAATGTTAAAAGGTAAATGTGAAAACAACCAAAAAATCAATTATTTTGGACCAAGGGACTAGTGTTTTAGTGATTTCTCAAAATTTCTCAATTTGAACTCCCTCCCTTCTCAATAAAAAGCCCTTTTTATCAGTGAATTCGAATCGCCTACATTTCAGCAGGTACCTTGCACTCTCCCTCTCACTACTACATGTATATAAGTCTCTACATTTCTTAAATTCCTAATATGCTTTGCAATTACACATGGATCGATTCTAGTTTCCCTTAAAAACTGAATTGTGGCATATTGTGTTCGACAAAATTCCTCTTAGGAAATCATTTCCACCGAGTTATTGGAGTTTCTCCTTTTTCTTTTCTTTATTCTTGTGTTTTTGTTTTTGGGGTCTAATCATCGATTATTTACACTATATATCTTTAAGCAATATAGTCTCAGTCATGCTCGCTGCTAGACTTTTTGGGAGAGCATTGTTGGCTGCGGCCAAATCAGAGAGTTCAGCTGCTGCTGCTTCTTCTGCTGCTACAACTAAGGTTACTAATCCACTTGAACAGTTCTTTGAAGTTGATAGAACCCCTGATGACGATAAACCTGTTATTTATGGTAAAATCCTTTACCTTTCAATTTGGAACTGCTTCCCTGTTAGCCTGATTGGATATGCTTTATCTTTTTTACCATTTCTATTGCTTGTATCGCTGAGACTGTGCAAGGTTAAAGTACATTGATTTCCTTGATAAAAACGGTTACTTATGGTGCTGGAAGTATTAACATGCTATAAATAAAATTTGATTGCTAAATTAAGATCATAGCATTGCAGATGTAAAAGTAGGCCTTGGTTTCAACTCTAAGTGGAATGTTTTGATGTGCTTCCTGGCATAAGTCGTGTAGGATCAGTATATTCGTGTGTTGTTGAAGAAATGACGACTCTTTCAACTGAAGGGAGTGTGCACAGTGCTGTCAATGGTGTATTTTCTCCAGCTTAAGATTAGAGGCGACTAAAAGGCTAAATTGGTGATAAATGCATGAAGAAAATAGTGTATACACATTCATTTTCGATGAATCCTGTTCTACATTGTATCCCAGGACCTTTTTTTTTATTTATAAAATTTTCCCTTTATCTGTTTTGCAATTTTTCCCATGGAAGTTCGAGAGAAAAGAACTTCCTATTTGGAGATTGGGAATCTTTGGCTGTCTTTAATCTTAATTGAATGCTTATATTGTTGAAATTTAATCTCAACATTGGAGTAATCGGGTATAAATGATATTATGTTCCTGTGAATGATGTTGTTAGCATTCCGTATCAGAACATAATCTAGTAATTTCCTCTTTTTAGAAGTCGGGGTTGAATCTCATACTGGGGTATGTGGTCTAGGGGATGTAAGTGCCTCATGGGTTAGGGCCTTGTAGGTAAACACATGATTTGATATTGAGGTTCTTATTGCTGATAGACTGTTTGAATAAGTTAGTGCGTAAGTTATAGATCTATTTTAGAAGGCAGAGGTTTTTGCATGAGTCCTATATCTGACAGGCTAAAGCTTAAAACATAATCAGGTCGAAGTTGGAAGGCTTCTGAACTGCGTCTGAAGTCTTGGGATGATCTTCAAAAGTTATGGTATGTTCTTCTTAAGGAGAAGAACATGTTAATGACTCAACGCCAGATGCTTCATGCTCAGAACTTGAGGTTTCCAAATCCTGAGCGTATTTCCAAGGTAAAAGTTAGTTTCTTTAATTAGCTCTTTCCACAATATTTTGATAATTTTACCTCTCCACTTTCAATTGTTTGTTTATCATGAATAGTTTCTCTGAAGTTGGATGAATCAATTTTCTGTCCCCCCCCCCC